ATCGTCGTTCTTCTACTACTTTACTTTACTCTCCTCCTCTCTCTCTCTCTCTCTCTCTCTCTCGCTCTAAAAAGTCTTTTATCTTCCTCTTTGCTCGTTGTTTCCCCCTCATAACAGAACATCACTCTGCAAGTTCACGAGTCCTCGCCTTTCGAGGCTCCTCTTTATCTCTCTCCCCTTTGCTTCTCTCACAAGACAAACATTAAACCCGTCTTGTCCTCTATAAAATCCAAGCTTCCTTCTCTCTCTTCTGCTCTCTGCAATCCAAAACATCGCTCTGTCCCTTCTATCTCTTCTGTAGTCTCCATTATATGCTCTCTCTCTCCTCTGGTCTTTGTATTTTGATTCATTCCCTCTCTCTCTTCCATACCTTCTTATTTCATTTCTTTTGGGGATTGGATTTTTAGAGAGAGAATGGATGTTCAAGGGAGGAAGAACAGGGAAGCAAGTCCAGACAGGGCCAAGATTTACATGCAATCCAAGACGAAACAGAACAGGAGAGTTCAGATTTTGTATTATCTCTCTAGGAACGGCCAGCTTGAACACCCTCATTTCATGGAAGTCGGTCATCCGGCCACTCAGCAACTCCGCCTTAAAGGTTAGAGAGAGAAACCCACAAATGAAGAAAACCATATTGTGCTTCTCTCTCTTAATGGTGGGTTTGGGTTGTGTTTGCAGATGTGATGGACAGGCTCACAGTTCTGAGAGGGAAAGGCATGCCATCTCTCTTCTCATGGTCATGCAAAAGGTGAACATAAAAATTGAACACACAACAAATTAGTTTCTCTCACTACCATTCTCACACAAAACTCGTTTCTCTCTCTCTCTTGGTTTTGCAGGAACTACAAAAATGGCTACGTATGGAACGATTTATCAGAGAACGATATCATATACCCAACGGAAGGAGCAGAGTATGTACTCAAAGGTTCAGAGTTAATTGATGGATGTTCAGGTAAATAAATTTACATAAATAAACACTCCCAAAACCAGTGGTTTCAGTATTGATTTCCACTCTCTCTCTAACCAGAAAGCATCCAGCAACTTCAGCTGAGCTCAAGGCAGATTAACATAGAAACCAGGGGAAGGAAACAATTCTCAGAAAACCTAACGCCAAGAATCTCAAGAGGAGCTTCACCAGAAGTTCAACACAAACATATACAAGAAGAGAGAGAAGAAAGGGAAGAGAGAGAAGAAGTTTTGAAACATCAAAACAATGGTTGCAGCACTGAGCTGAGCTTAACTGACACTTCTTCGCCACCTTCTTCCTCTTCTACTCTCTCTGAGAAAGCGGAGACATTAGAAAACCAATCTAAAAAAAAACCCATGATCAAAACCAGTAGGCACTCTGCTATTTTACAGCTTCTTGCTTGTGGATCAATGGCGATGAAAACCCATGAAATGAAAAAGGGGAGAAACCTCTTTCCGCCCATAAAAAACCAGAGCTTACACAAAAGGGTGGTTTGTAAAACAGCTGCAAAAAATGCAGTTTTAGATGAAGATCTTGATTATTTGCCTGAAAACCTTCGGTTTAGGGCCCCTCACCCTGAAGAGAGAGAGTATTTTAGTGGGAGTATTGTGGAGAGGGCGCAGGAAAACCAGGACTCTGGGGAGTTGCCTTCTCTCAAGAAATCGTCTTCCTACAACGAGGAGAGGTCAGTTTCCTGTTCTTTCTCTCTCTACTTCTTGTGTTCTCTCTCTTCCCTTTGTCTCCTCTCTCTCTTAATCATTCTTCTATTACTTCGCAGCTGCTCTGTTTCATGCTTTGTCGTTCTTTCTCGGATTGATTCATGGTTTCTCTCATCCCTTTACTTATCTCTCAAGAAAATTGCCATTTAATTTCTCAATAAATTTTCCTTAAACTTCTGTTTCAGTCTCCGTGATTCTCTCTCGATTTAATTTCATCTCTTACAGTTTGTTTTCTCTCTCTAGACTTTTTGTTTCTCTCTCTTACTGTTTGTCTCTCTCTCTAACTCTTTGTTTCTTTGCTGCTTGGGTTTGTTATTTATTCAGGGCGTCTAAGTCTGGCATGGCAGAGGCCCTGGGGAAGAGCGAGAAAGGGAGGTGCATGCCCAGGAAGAGATCGGTGCAGCGTTAGCACCGCCTTTTACAGAGAGTTTCTCTCTCTACTCTAGAGAGAGAGAGAGAGAGTTTCTCAGGTCTTTGCTCTGTTGTCTCTCTGGTAGGAGGTGTTCTTGAGAGACTTTGTCCAAAATTTGTGCTCGCTATGTAATGATGATGGGGTTGACATTGTGCCCTGCTTTCTCTCTCTAAAAATTGGAATGTTATCGTTATTACCGTTAGCTAAACGCTACTTTGTCGAAATTTCGCTAGATTTCGGAGCATCCGGTGTTTCAGGTCTTTTTTATAAAACTGGTTTTCGGGTCTCTCGATCTAAATTGGATTACTCCCCGCCGAAATTTCGTTAACGTATACTTCGGGGGATTTCGGTAAAAGTGCGTTGCATGAAATCAGTGATAAACTCCTAAATTGCACCTTTTTCAGCGAAATTTCTATTTTATTAGTTTGCTTGGGGCACTGTCTGAAAAGAAAGCCAAGAGATCACTTCCCCAAAATAAAATAAAAGGAAAAGCGAAAAGATCCGGAAAAGGTTGAGTTTGATTTGAGGGATGCTGTTTTTAAAAGGCCTCGGCCCAATTAAAAAAATAAATAAATAAATAAAGATTAGTATCAAATCTTTTTGAAAATGCTTAAAAGAGTATAGATCTCCGCCTCCAAAAAGATAGTTTAGATTTTTTATTTGGAATATTTTTAGAAGTGCTATATTACGGTAGGCATGGCTTTAACGTCGTACCTTTCATGGGAGGTCTTTCAATGTTGTTAGCATTAAAGATAAAATTTGACAAACTTTATGGGATTGATTCTTTATTACCATTGATGGGAGAGGACTTCATAGACATATTTGTAAATTTAAAACTCTTAGCTTTCTCATGTGGAACAGAAAATCGTCTTTCTTCCTTGTGAATCCCTCTTTCCTTTTTAAGGTGCTTTTAAACTCAATTTTGATGGGAGCTTTGAGAAATCTTGAACAAGCTGGAGCCAAATGGTCTTTTAAGAGATCATGAGGGTTCTACTATTTTTTTTTATACTGGGCCTAGTGTTTTACCGTGATTAACCAGGCTGAGATGGTATCTCTTCTTTAGGGTCTACAAAACATTGCTACCGGACGTATTCAAAGAATTGTTCAAGCTGAGGGAGACTCACTCAATGTTATAAACTGATGCAACAATGAATATAGAATTCTTAGGTCTCTTCTAAATATGTGAACGCTTAAAAATGTACAATCTGGATAATATGTGACAATTTTTAATATATAACACCCTAATTTTTTATTTTTACAAATGTGATGGTCAAGGTCGAGATGATTAATTTGAAGGTTTCTACTATAACATAATTTTAAGTGAGTTTTGAGGTGAAGTTTTCTTTTTTTTCCACAAGACTTGTGCCTTATTTTAACCTTTGCCTTATCTTGTATTTTCAGAGGGACGATTGATATAAAAATATAATATGTTTTGATAGGGCATTAGCCTTATGAAATATATAATGCCTCACCTCAAAGCTCATAAAAAATTGCAATTTTGGTGTCGTAAAAACTTCTAATCAATCATCTTGGCCTTGAGGGTTATAGTTGTGAAAAAAAAAAAAAGATTTCAAACTCTAAAAAAAAGCATATTGTAACACATTATCTAAATTGTCCATTTACCCTAAAAATATGTGTTCACCATAAGATCTAAAATATCTTTTAGCTTTAAAGTTCATAATCGATATTGTAAATTGATTTTAGAGCCAACGTAGAGATTTTTAATACCCAAAGTGCTCTTCAATTGTAGGCGATGTTTTATTTTCTTTTCATAAAGCCCATGACTTGTAAAAACTCCATCCTATAAAAAAAAAAAAATTAAAAATCACTCAAAACTCTAGGCCAAAAGGTTCCAACATTTAAAACTTGGCCAACTTTTGGCTTGATGATAGAGCCTCATTTTGAAAATATAAATGGAAGCATAAATATTGAGATGCACACTCATCAATTCAAAGCTGTCCTATGCCCAAATATGGCTTGCCATTCTATCTCCTATGACACAAAAAGGGTCTATTTTCTTTGTCGTTTCCCTCTCTCCCTTTGGACTTCCCTTTGAGGAGCAAGAGGCTATAAATTGCTGTACTGTAGGCACAATAAAGCATACACATTTGATGGACAAAAAAATAAATAAAGCATACACATTTTCATGGGAATAATAGTGGAAAGAGAGAGAAACCGTTTATTTTTTCATCTTTTGTACTTGTAGGCACGTGGTAGAGGATTTGGATCCACACATTTGTTTTTTGTTCTGATTGATTTTAATTTTTATTTTATTTTTCTCTTGAAGATAGAGTTGTATTTCCCGGATATCGGCAGCATGTTATTTTCAGCTCATGGGGGATCAACACAAGTGGCCTTACCTACTTTAGTAGGAGGCCTCTAGCAAAGGCGTGCCATTATGGAGTGTGACCGAGGTGTAAC